GTTGTCCAAATGAAGTTCTTAGCAATGCGTATTACTTATCAAAAATTATGTTTTCATATTTACGGTAGGAAATTTACAAAATATCTTCATGGAACATGATCTTAACTTAATATTCTAATGATTTTTAGCATAAAATAAATATTTATAATTTTGACCCATACAATGTATTGTTGGCTATTGCTACAAATATCCCCCAGCGACTTAAGACTGCTTTTGTGCTCCAGGGTCACATATTATTTGTTTACGTGCATGTCAGGTGACCACTAACCAATACTGTGTTATTACATTTAAGGTTTAAAATATATTAAATGTCCAATAACAGATTTAAATGTACTACATTTTACTTACCAAATTGAAATAAGTTTTTTGCAATATTTGTACATTCTGACAATAGAGAATAAATGAATAGAAAGTAAAATATGTACTTAAAAAAATTACTTTAATAAACTTTAATAAATTAGTACATTGATTTAATACATTTAAAAAAATGTTTTTATCAAAATTATTACACTTGGCGATATTTACAGTTCCTGTGTATTTCTCCTAACATGCACAAACAAGCTGAAAATAACTGGTGGAAATGTTTGTTTTTTTTTGGCCACATTAAAATGCCATATTAAAAGTTGATGTATAATTTGCACTTTTTCTCAGGAGTGTCTGCGGCTGTTCTGTGCCATAACACGGGTCAGTGTGTTGATGTGGGTAACACACACCTGTGCAGGTGCCAGGCCGGATACACAGGCAGCTACTGTCAGGAGCAGGTGGACGAGTGCATGCCGAACCCCTGCCAGAACGGAGCCACCTGCACCGATTACCTGGGAGGATACAGCTGTGAGGTATGAAAACACATGCACATCATCAGTGCTGAGCAGATTACTTACAAATTGTAGTCCATTACTGATTCCGTGACAAAAATTACACGTTTTAGGGAATATTATCGGATTACTTTTAGATCACTCGTGACCTAACTCAGTTATCACATTGATAATATAATTAAAATGTAAGATAATCTAATATAGAGTACTTAATTTTTGGAATCTGATTACAAAATCCAGATCACATGCAATCAGTTACTATCCAGCACTGTACATCATCATTACACGAGTCTAACATCGTGTTTCTCTCTTTCAGTGCGTTCCTGGATATCACGGAGTCAACTGTAGTAAGGAGATAAACGAGTGTCTGTCTCAACCCTGTCAGAACGGAGGAACCTGCATCGACCTCATCAACACGTACAAATGCTCCTGTCCGCGGGGAACACAAGGTACGGACACATTCACACGCTCACAAACACTGGACTCCTCGCTTCGTACTTCAGTAGCTGAATTGTATGGATTGTTTTCTCTGGCCGTGTTTGCAGGTGTTCACTGTGAGATTGATGTCGATGACTGTTCTCCGGCCGTGGATCTGTTAACCGGTGAGCCGCACTGTTTTAACGGCGGCCGCTGTGTTGACCGCGTTGGAGGTTACGGCTGCGTGTGTCCGGCTGGGTTTGTGGGCGAGCGCTGCGAGGGCGATGTCAATGAGTGCCTGTCTGACCCCTGTGACCCCAACGGATCCTACAACTGCGTACAGCTTATCAACGACTTCCGCTGCGAATGCCGTACAGGATACACCGGTACAAACTCGCATCTGACGCAGTGCCTGAATGATCACAAATGCTTAAAACTATAGGGAGCCCTTTTACATTATAAGGTTACAATTAGGCCTAACAACTTAACCCAAACCTAAATTTAATTGCTATTTATTTTTAAATAGATGATCAACACTCAACTTAAAAACTTAAAAAATAAATAAAAAATTGTATGCAAACATGTAAATTGCACATAATGCAGTTTTTAAATTAACTTATAAATAATACAATTTCTAAGCTATTTGTTAAAATATATTCAATTACACAATGGCTGTCATAGCATGTTTCATAACAGATTAATTTAAACATACTGTACATTAAGTAATTAAGACTAACAGGTTTAGTAAAATATAATGAGTATATAGTGTAATATTTCGCAAAATGCTCCTCTCTAGACTTAATTTCTCTAGTGAACTAACGAGCTGTGGACACTGATGACTTGCTGAGGTAGATGAAATGCTACGTGACATTTTATTTCCACGCTGTATTGTGCTCTAGTCAGTGCTTGTGTTGGGATTATACCAGCACGTTTCTGAACCGTCCCAGAAGTGGCTCTCTAAGGCGTTTATACAGCGATCTGTCATGCCACATACAAGATGGTCAAAACGCCATTTATTATTTGAATTTCCTGAGAAGAATAAAAAATAAAAAACTGTATTCGTGCGGTACACATGCATACCGAACCGAAAGACCCGTGCCGAAACGGTTCGGTACGAATACGTGTACCGTTACACCCCTAATACTTACTATATAATTATACATTATAACTATATTTCACTATACAACATAATTCATTATGTATTTATACTTCAGATGTATAATTTAAAATGTAAACATTTTTGTTTTATTAATTTATTTATTCAAAGTAAGCTTAGAATTATACTTCACAGGTATAATTTAAAATGTAAACATTTATTTATTTGATTGATTATATCTGAGAAAAATATTTCTAAGTATACTTACAATATAATTTTCAATTTAAATATATTTTATTTATCTTATTAGCAAAAATGAAAAAAAAACTGATTTTTGTGAAGTTTTGTGCTTCAGATATAATTTACAATTTAAACGTTTACTTAATTTCTTGATTTATTTATAAATTTACTACAAAGTATATGAAGTATGCTTAGAGCTGTACTTCACAGATATAATTTATAATTTAAACCTTTTACTTATTTGATTTATTTATAAATTAAGTACAACAAAAACTGATGAAGTATACTTAGAATTATACTTCACAGACATAATTTACAGCATAATTAAATTTTATTCATTTTATTAGCATAAATTCAGTACAACAAAAACTGATAAAATTATATTTAATGATACTTCACAGATATAATTTATTTTAGCGTAAATGAAATTTAGTGCAACAAAAACTATGAAATATACTTAGAATTGTACTTCACAGATGTAATTAACTTATGTAATTTATTTATTGCATTGGGGGGGGGGGGGATATGTAGGGTTTTTTTTTTGGTGAAAATTTTGTTTAAAGGTGTTTTTTTAATATATATTTATAGGCAAGCGCTGTGAAACTGTGTTCAACGGTTGCAAGGACACACCATGCAAAAATGGAGGAACATGTGCTGTAGCGAGCAACACCAAACACGGATACATCTGCAAGTGTCAGCCGGTGAGTAAAAACACACATCTTTACAGCTAATGCTATGATTTGAACATCACATAAACTCATGGATCAGTTTAGAAACCCCTTCAAATGCGCTTGCTAATCTTTGGCTCTCTCTCAGGGTTACTCTGGCTCCTCCTGCGAATATGACGCCCAGTCCTGCGGCTCCCTGCGCTGTCGTAACGGTGCTACCTGTGTCTCAGGACACCTGAGTCCCCGCTGTCTCTGCCTGCCGGGCTTCAGCGGACACGAGTGCCAAACACGCATGGACTCGCCCTGCCTCAACAACCCCTGCTATAACGGCGGCACCTGCCAACCCATCAACGACGCCCCGTTCTTCCGCTGCTCCTGTCCAGCCAACTTCAACGGACTCCTCTGCCACATCCTTGACTACTCCTTCAAAGGAGGGCAGGGCCGAGACATCGCCCCGCCGGAGGTGGAGATCCGATGTGAAATCGCTCAGTGCGAAGGCAGGGGCGGAAACGCCATCTGTGATACCCAGTGTAATAGTCACGAGTGCGGATGGGACGGCGGCGACTGCTCTCTGAATTTCGATGACCCGTGGCAGAACTGTAGCACCGCCCTTCAGTGCTGGAGGTACTTCAACGACGGCAAATGTGACGAGCAGTGCGCCAACGCTGGCTGCCTGTATGATGGCTTCGACTGCCAAAGACTGGAGGGGCAGTGCAAGTGAGTGACATTTATTTATTTTTCATTTAATTAAATTCTTCAATTTTATATTTTTATTTATTTGTATTCTTTATTTGTGTTACTGTTTTACTGTATAATATATTTATAATTAAACATTGGGTATTATTTTAAACAGTCTTTTTTTTTGCTTCATCATTAGGGGCTTACTTATTTTATTTATTTATTTAAAAAAAATTGTTTATATTTATTTATTTTTATTATTAACTTGTTTTATTTTTGCTGTTTTTATATGTGTGTGTATGTATATATATATATATATATACATTCATATATTTAATTTTATTTTATTTTTAATTACTTTATCATTAAAATCAAGGATTTTAATTTTCATTTAATTTTTACAATCTTTTATTAATTTTGGAAAATAATAGAAAAATAATAAAATAAAAATAGAAAAATCCGGGGGGGAAATCATAATAATGAAATGTTCCTTACTACATCAAGGCTGTCACAAGTTTTATTTTAGTATTATTTATGTACTACTATATTATTTATTAATATTTTGATTGATCTTTTATTTTTTACTTTTTATTTTTCGGTTTAAAGTTAGTTTTAATCATCTTGTTATGCACATTTGTCCATTTTAATTTATTATTATTATTATTTTTTTTTTTATAATTTTAATTCGTTTTTTAATATTTCCAATAAGGTCATTCCAGTTTTGATTTTGGTAATTGTATGGTTTGGTTTTATTTTTATTTATTTATTTATTTATTTATTATTATTTTTTAATTACTTTATAATTAATTATAATTTTGCAGCCTGTTATTACCTTTAGAAAATGCATCCTAATGGAAAAATCCAAATGAATAATATGTTAATAATAATAATAATAATTACATATAATAAAATTTTTATAAAATTACAAACAGAGAAACCAGTGGAAAATTGGCCATTAATTTAGTTTTTTAACCTCTCCTTCAATCTCTCTCTTCAGTCCGCTGTACGATCAGTACTGTAGGGATCACTATGCAGATGGTCACTGCGATCAGGGCTGTAATAACGCTGAGTGTGAATGGGACGGTCTGGACTGCGCCGATGACGTTCCTCAGAAACTGGCCGTGGGGAGTCTGGTTCTAGTGGTCCACATCCCACCAGACGATCTTCACAACCGCTCCTCGTCTTTCCTCCGCGAGCTGAGTGGACTGCTGCATACCAACGTGGTGTTCCGCCGCGACGCTAACGGAGAGCCGCTCATTTTCCCGTACTACGGCAACGAGCACGAGCTGAGCAAGCACAAGCGCTCTGATTGGACGGACCCGGCCCAGCTGCTGCACCGCGCCAGGAGGAGCCTGACGGCCTTCATGAAGCCCCGCCTCCGACGAGAACTCGATCAGATGGAGATCAAAGGGTGAGTGAAGGCAAAACACTGTTTAAATGCAATTAATCATATAATGATTAATAAAAATATATTTGTGATATTCACATGTTTATGTGTTGCAGGTCTATCGTCTATCTAGAGATCGACAACCGTCAGTGTTACCAGCAGTCTGACGAGTGTTTCCAGAGCGCGACGGATGTGGCGGCTTTCCTCGGAGCGCTGGCCTCTAGCGGGAATCTCAATGTTCCTTACATCATCGAGGCCGTCACAAGTGAGTGCCACATTTATGCCAAAATCACTGTTATTTTCGTATTTTTATGTACTTTTATAGTACTTAATAATATTTTGAATTAGCTTATTATAAAAGACATTTTAATTTTAGTTCAAGTTTTAGTAATTTTGTTATGCACTTGTTTTTTTATTAGTGGTTTTTAAACTTTTATATTAATGGATAAAACACATTATAGTTTTTATTATTATAATTTTGAATTTGCTTTTATTTTTACATTTTAAGTTTTCATTTGAACTTGTTTTTTTCTTTTTTTGCCTTTATTAGTTTTTCCCCCCATTTTTTTTAAATTAATATTTGTTTATATTTTTATTTGGTAAATTTCACAATCATTTACACATAAATGTCAAGCAACACATTAAATTAAACTTGAATTTTTGAAGTAGAAAAACTGGAAAAGTAATTTATTGTAAAACATACTCCTATATATATATTAGCATTAAAACTCTATTAAGCATGATTCATCAGTGCACATTAAAAAAATTGTAACTTGTGTGTTTTTGTAGCAGTGTTATTTTAGCTCTATTTATTTATTCTAATAGTTTTTATTAATATATTTTTACATTTTAGATTTTCTTTTTAACTTTTGTTGAATTTTTATCACAGTAGTAGTAATAATAATAATGATGATATAATTTAATAATAATCAAATGTAATAATATTTAGGATTAATTTGTTTTATTTTCATTTGAATCTTTTATTTATTTCCAGTTAGTAATTTTAGTTCTTTCATCTACAATTTATTTTATTTCAGCTTTCAAGTAACAAAAATATTAACGATAATACCCTTGGTTTGCAGGAGGAGACGCCACTTTTCCTGGCTGCTCGTGAGGGAAGTTACGAAACCGCTAAAGTCCTGCTTGATCACCTGGCCAACCGTGAGATCGCGGATCACCTAGACCAGCTTCCACGCGACATCGCGCAGGAGCGCATGCACCACGACATCGTCCGTCTGTTAGAGGAATACAACCTGGTCCAGAATCCCGCGCTGCCTCTATCGCCCCCTCTCTGCTCGCCCAACACCTACCTGGGCATCAAACCCAGCCCGGGCGGCGCCAACAACAACAACACGGCCAAGAAAGCGCGGAAACCGAGCAGTAAAGGCGTAGGAGGGAAGGACGGCGGAAAAGACATGAGAATGAAAAAGAAAAAGGCCGGAGAGGGCAAAAATGGAGGCATTATGGAAGTGGGCGTCCTCTCGCCTGTCGATTCGCTGGAATCGCCCCACGGTTACCTGTCAGACGTCTCGTCCCCGCCTCTGATGACATCACCGTTTCAACAGTCCCCGCCCATCACTTTGAATCAGCTCCAAGGATTGGCCGACACCCACATGGGCGGAGCTCTTCAGAGCTTAGGGAAGCCATTTGACTCCGCCCTTCCTCCTCGCTTATCCCATCTGCCAGTGGCTAACAATGGAGGCGGAGCTCAAACGGCGGCGTGCGATTGGCTGCAAAGGGTGCAGCAACAGCAGGCAGGCTTCACAACCCTGATACCCACAATGCTCTCTGCCACCAATATGCCACAGGTCATGGGCTATCCCACAATGCAAAGCAGCCACCTCGGCATGCCGTCGCACATGATTCCCAACCACGCCCATCAGAATAGGGTGCCTATGCGGCACCAAAACAGCGCCGCCTCTGGCCACGCCCACGTCTCTCATCACTTCCTAGGTGACTTAACTGGGCTGGATCTTCAGTCCGGCTCAGGACACGCCCCCATCCAGACCATCCTACCGCAGGAGAGCCAGCGCATGGCTCCGCCCATTTCTAGCACACAGTTTCTGACTCCGCCTTCTCAGCATAGCTATTCCAACCCTATGGACAACACTCCCAGTCACCAGCCACAGGTTCCCGACCACCCATTCCTCACACCCTCCCCTGGATCTCCCGACCAATGGTCAAGCTCGTCTCCACATTCCAACTTGTCTGATTGGTCAGAGGGCATCTCGAGCCCGCCCACCAGTATGCAGATGAACCATATCCCAGAAGCCTTCAAGTAGGCGGGGCTTTGGCATCAAGAAGCTAAACTGAATAAACAATTTTATATTAATGATAAAAACTCTTTTTATGATTTTTGTATGCTAAGAACCATTTCTGTATTTATTTATATGCATTTTGGACTACAGATATAAGATTTTTTTTAATTTATACTGTATTTTATTTTTTATTTTGACCATTAACTGTTCTGAAAATAATTTTGAAAAATATGATGCTGCCAGAAATTTTGTTGTTGTTGTTTTTAATTAAAATGTCAGTATTAATTAGATTTTATATGGTCCTTTTTACCAAACGATTAGTTTTCTGTGAACAAAAATGTAGAAGAGTCTTAATATTATGAATTTAATGTATAACACACATGCACACATACACTCTGACATGCCTCTGCACACGTTTGTTGGTGTTTTTACACAAAAGAGAGTTGTTTATGGCTGATTTATGCTATGTTACCGAGTATCGTCTGTAGACACTGTTCTGAGTTCATTTTGAACCCAAATCTTTTTCCCATTGTACCTTGCTTCAGGTGTTTTTGGGAGATTTTCGTATGTAGCGTAGTGTTCACTGTTATTTATTGCCTGCTGTAGACATGTAGGACATATTATGACATGTAGATGAGTTTGTGTGAGTGTGTGTGTGTGTGTGAGAGAAGAGACAGGTGTGTGTGTCGCAGTGTGATGACATCATCGGTGCATGAGGTGTGATTGTTGCTTTTATAAACGCAGATCAAATTTTTTAATGGTGACATGGAAAAGACTGACTTGTAGTTTGTGGAGAGAAAAAAAGTATTTTGTTCAATGATTTTGTAAAGTAACTTTTCTTGATACAATAAAGGACACCGTTTGGTGACATTACTTTTACTCTGCGTTACCAAACTTGATTTGCCTTCAAAATATTAATGTGAATAGCAAAAAAAAGCATCACTATTATTATTTCTTGAACTATTGCTTGAAAGATTTTTAAATGTTTTTGAAAGAAGTCTATTTATGCCCATCAAGGCTGTATTTATTTCATCAAAAACAATAATATTGTGAAATATTGCAATTTAATCATTACAGTTTTCTATTGTGATATACTGTATATTAAAATGTAATGAAAAGCTGAATTTTCAGCATCATTCCTCCAGTCTTCAGTGTCACATGATCTTCAGAAATCATTCTAATATGCTGATTTGCTGCTCAAGAAACATGAAAAGTAAATACTAGTGTATAAATGTATAGATTAAATAAATAGTCGGGGTATAAATTAAAAGACATTTAGGCAAATTAGGCAAACATTATTACTTAAAAGATAAGAAATTATAGGCACCATTTCCTTTTTTTTTTTTTTGCATTATTTAGTTAAAAATCACTCAATACAAGACGATATTTCCCATCTTATTTCAAAAGCTTCACATAAAGCATGCAACAAAACCAAAAAAAAAACTAAACAGTTGAAATATATATGAAATAAAGATAAAGCATTTTTAGGTAAATCTAGTATTAATATTTTAAATAGCCATAGTATGTTTCAACTTCTCACTCGCAGGCTGAATTTTATGTGGTTATTTTTAAATGAGGCATTTGACCCCAAAGCATCTCTGGACAGATACGTGTAAATGCTTTCCCCAGAGTCAAGAGGAACCCGTGACATTCACTGAATTCATTTTTCACTGCTTCACCTCCGCTATTTAAAGACTGAACGAGGCTCATGATTCACCTGCGACCCTCCATTTACAGCCTGGGAAAGTGCACTTGAGAATATACATCTAAAATTAAAACTACACTATTAAATATGAAATAATAACAGGTTAATGTGTCTTTGGTTTTCCAGGCTACTCATGCATTAAAGTAACTTTTAGCTTGTTCTGTTCCTGACAGTGACTGTGTGACTCTGTTTAATCGATTATACTCCTGCAGTGAACTGGAAGTGTCTGATTAATTGACATACATTGATCAGAGAAGGTTTGTTGACAGTCTGTGGACATGCATTAAAGGAATAGTTCACCAAAAAGAAAAATTTGCTGAAAATGTACTCACCCTCAGGCCATCCAAAATGTAGATGAGTTTGTTTCTTCATCAAATCGAACAGATTTCTCAGCAATGGATCCTCTGCAGTGAATGGGTGCCGTCACAATGAGAGTCCAAACAGATCCAAAAATATCACAATAATCCACACCACTCCAGTCCATCAATTAACATCTTGTGAAGCCCCAAGCTGTAGGCCTATATTTTAACTTCAAACCTTCACTTCTGGCCAAAATTTGAGTCCATAATCCATAAAAGCACTTCCTCCACTGAAAAAAAAATTGCATCAAAATCAACTCACATATTTGTTTAGAACTGTTTTGGCTTGTAAACGATCTGTGCATATTTCTCCCCTGATTCAGATGGGACGACTTTTTCCCTAGAGAAAGCAATATTATGAATAGAGAACTCAAGCACACCTGCACTATGATCTAATACCGTTTTAGATGGACAGATTAGAAATTAAATTTGCAGGTATCTTTAATATGTAATGTTCTTAACTTCTTAATAAGAGTAGTTTTGTTCATGTTATAAAATTGAGTTTTTCTTTTCTTTTTTCAAAATTAACATTTAACTCGTTGCTATTTATGAAAAAAGTTAGTGGTAAAAATGTTACTTACTCTATAGATTTATAGATCAAATCAATAGTCAATCAATCAAACTAAATAAAAAAGCAGCACACAGCAAATTATAAAAAAATGAATTATTGCTGCAAGTTCTCGTTGTTTTGCAATAATCATGCATATGTTTTATAAATGTTTATATAGTCATGCAACATTTTTACATCAAAAAGCATCAAAATACATTTAAAAAAAATAAACAAACAAACAATGAGGAATAAAGGAATATTTCATTAATAATAATAATAATATGTATATGTATATGTTTATTGATAAACAAATAAACATTTCGTTTAAATGCAAATATTGTACATTATACAATTAAGTATACAAAAATAAAACAACAAAACAACTAGAAAAATGTATAGCTTTCTTAGTTCAGTTCAGTTTGTTTATAAAGCACACTGTTAATAAAATATCATGCCATTTACCAATGTTAATTGGTTGCTGAGATTTAGTCAAATCTATTGATTTTTTGAGACTATGAGACTTTATTAACATTATTTTTATGTTTCACATCTTTAACACATGCAGTGCCTTGCGAAAGTATTCATACCCATTCATTTATTTCACGTTTTGTCATGTCGCAGCCTTATGTTAAACTGCTTGTTATTAATTTTTCCTACAACAATAAGCAAAAACAGAACTGTCACAACTTCGTAAATTTATTAGAAATAAAAAAAAACTGAAATAAGTACATTGCATAACTCAGTACTTAGCTGAAGCACCTTAACAGCCTCAAGTCTTTTTTTTGTTTGATGCGACAAGCTTTGTTCATCGGCATTTTGCAATTATCTGCCATTCTTCACCTCACCTGTTCACCTCTCAAGCTCTGTCAGGTTGGATGGGGGCAGATGCACATTTTCAGGTTTCTCCAGAAATATTTGATTGGGTTCAATCCCAGGCTGTGGCTGGGCCACTCAAGGACATTCACACAGTTGTCTAGAAGCCACTCTTGCTGTGTGTTTAGGTCATTGTCCTGTTGGAAGGTGAACCTTCTGCCCAGTCTGAGGTTCTGAATGCTCTAGACTGGGTTTTCATTAAGGCTATCTCTATATTTTGCTGCACTGAGCGTTTCTTCTACTCTAACGAGTCCCCAGTCCCTGCTGCTGAAAAACAGCCCCACAGCATGAGGCTGCTAGCAGCACACTTTACTTTTGGGATGGTACTCTCGAGGTGATGAGCAGTGCCTGGTTTCCTTCAAACATGATGCTTGGAATTGAGGTTCATCAGAATCTTGTTTCTCACAGTCTGAGGGTCCTTTAGGTGCTTTTTTGTAAATTCCAAGTGTGTTTTCATGTGTCTTCACTGAGGAGAGGATTGAGTTTGGCCGCACTGACATAAAGCCCAGATCAGTGGAGTGTTGCAGTGATGTTTGTCCTTCTGTAGGTTTCTCCTGTCTCCACATATGATCATGGAGATCAACTAGTGTGACCATCAGGTTCTTGGTCACCAGTCTAACCAAAGCCCTTCTCCATCATTTGCTCAGTTTGGCCAGGAGGTCAGCTCTAGGAAGAGTCCTGGTTGTTTCAAACTTCTTCCATTATGGATAATGGAGGCTACATGCTTCTGTGACCCTTCAATAAAGCAGAATTTTTTCTGAACCCTTCCACAGATGTGTGGCTTGACGCAAACCAGTTTCGGAGCTCTACGGGCAGTTCTTTTGACCTCAGGGCTTGGTTTTTGCTCTGATTTGCATTTTCAGCTGTTAGACCTTTTATTAAGTCATGTGCGCCTTTCCAAATCAATTCCATTCAATTGAATTTGCCACAGGTTAACTTCACTCAAAGTGTAGTAACATCTACAAGCAATATGAATGCTCCTGAGCTAAATTTAAGCTGTCCCAGATAAGGGTTTGAATAGGTATGCAATGGAATCAATTAAGTTTTTTATTTGTAATAAATTTGCAAAGATGTTAAAAGTCTGTTTTTTTTGTGCCATTATAGTGTATGGAGTGTAGAATGATGGGGGCAAAAAGTAATTTAAAGCAATTTAACATAAGGCAGCAACATAAGAAAATATGAAAAAATGAAGGGGTATGAATACTTTCGCAAGGCACTGTATAACTGTAACTTAACAGCAAATCAATGCTAATTTCTTTCTTTTTTTAATTCAAAGAACAACAAGATACAACGTTTTATCACGAATTGACCTCAAAAAGAAGAAAAGGAAAATAAGAAGGAAAAGGATAAAAAAAAATTACATCAAATAGGAGTTGCCGGGGGGAGATAAATATAAACGTTTAAAACAAAGACACAATATACATACATATGCCTACATATACATACACGTATACATATCAAAATCAAATAAATATAAAGTTCACAAGCTTTCAAAGTCTTCACAGCCTTATTATTCAAGGAGTCTCTGATACATACTGTCAATATACATATTTAAGTCAACAAAACCATAAAATGGGTTTCTTATTAGTCAATTTACACGTATGAATGTGAAATTTGATCAGCAGTACAAGTAAATTAATTAATTAATTAATTAATTCCAAAACTGCTCCTCTTGGTCAGAATAGTCAGTAAAAGCCAAAGTGTACAGGTCAAATCTATTGATCATGTGTTCCATATCATTGCAGGACGCGCATGCGCACTGTGCTTCCATGAGCCTGCATAGGCCTATATATATATATCTGTAGTGACAATAACACGGCGTCTCCCATGACAACGGCAGCCAGACAATGAACGAGCGCTCGGATGGCAGAAGAGACACGAGCAAATATGTCGTTTTGAACCGGGACGTTTTCCAAACGCGTTCTGTCCTCCGTTTACGTGATAATCGCTGAATATCCTGCGGCGCGTCATGTAGCGGAGGCCGCGCTGGGCGGGGAGGGCAACGAACAGACAGACGCCCGCGGGAGCCTTCGTTCAACGCGTCGGGAATCTTCACGCGTCTTTAAAGCTGGAGTGTGGCTCTGAGGTAAATTCACTTTTGAATGGCCTTTCATCAGCGCTGTCTTATCTTGGGTTATTGGGAGGTGATTGTTCTTCTGTGTTCGTCAATAAGACATATATCAGTAACATCTTGTTGTTGTTGTTGTTGTCGTCAACCATTTCCTATGTGCACTTGTTTCTGTCATTTTAGTTGTAATATAATCTTTGGGTAGTATATAGAACATATAATATTATTAAATATATAATATTATCTTTCATTTAATATTATACAATTAAAATGTTATTGATGTTGTTAGCTTTAAATTGTAATGTGTATATACAGAATTTATTATTATGTATATACAATATTATAGTCGCTTAATATTATTATAATTATTATTATTAGTATTAGAATATATACAGAGTAATATTATATTATTAAAAATTATTATTATTAATACAATTATTAACAATGTATTAAAATGATTAAATATTCTGGAATTTAACAAATGTACCAGGATTCATTTAAAAAATAAATGTGAAATTAAAAGTATATATGTGACCCTGGCAAAGCAAGGCAAGTTTATTTATACAGCACATTTCATACACAATGGTAATTCAAAGTGCTTTACATAATAGAAAGTAAAATAATCACAACAATAAAACAAGGAATTTAAAAACTTATTTAAAAATTCAGACCCTGGATCACAAAATGTCGAAAATATTTTAAAAATATTAACTACATAATGCACAAAATGTCTTCATTGAAAAAGATGAAAAGTGTGTGGTTATAAGAAAGTGGTACCATGGTAAGCTGAATGGCCAGTCCACCCCTTCTGCAGACTATATATACAGACAATATATACACACAAGACAGTACAGAGACACAATATACACTTAGCCTACATGACTATAGACCAGTGGTGGATGAAGTACACAAATCAAGTAAAGTAAAAGTACAGATCCGTATAGTAAAATATTACTCCAGTAAAAGTAAAAGTACTCAGTTTTCCATTTTACTGAGTGAAAGTACAAAAGTACTTGATTTTTTTATGTACTTAAGTAAAAAGTACCGATAGATGAATGTTTATTTTGCAGTTTTATATAGGCTACTTTT